GAGGATCGAGTAAGTTTCTTCTAATTTAGTTTGAAAAAAATTGAGATTATTATTATATTTATTTTTCATTATTATGACATCATAGCTTAATGGTTTTTTTGATTTACAAAATTGGATGACGCCTAAAGCGGAGCGGATTTTTATTGGCCAGGTCTAGATATGATTCTCTTTTGGAGTGCAAAAAATTACAAAAAAAAAGATTAATGTAGTTAGAAAAGTCATAAAGTGTTGGTTGGCGAGTCTCTATGATTTGTACTCAGGACGCTTTGAGGATTAAAATTTGACTTATATCCGTGTATTATACATATTATATTATGAATAATAGTATCTTCATGCACAAATCTTATTTATTGAACAATTCCGAATTAAATTTAATAATTTAATAAATGAATTGATTTTTGCTTTTATAATTTTTATTCAAAATTATTAGATAGTGAAAATATTTATGTAACCTAAAATGTCTAATTTGTATGTAATATCTTAAATATTGGCACGAGAATTTAAAGCATTAACAAATTACGTTATTCCACCGTTAATTATGGATTTGTTCACAAATTGCACCAAGAGCTTGGTTGTTAACAGCAGCATCCTTTAGATCAGTCAAAGTTTTGTTTTTGAAAGTATGTTCACAACATTTACCCCTCAATCATATTGGTATTAACGCGAGGTTGATTTTTATTTTTAGCATGAAAGTTATTCCGTAATAGCTTCCATTTGAATTTCCAAGGCTATAGCACAGTTGAGGGCTGCATTAACTTTTCCTCTATGTAAGCAACTCCTAATATTGCTTTGACCACATCGGCAAAAGTTTTATCAATTAATCATAAACTTTTTTAACTTTTCAAATACTGAATATTCACCAACATTGTAGCACAATTCGATTATATTTGTTTATTTTATTAAGATGAGTATTATTTTCTCATAAACTCTCACATCAAGCAATTAAATTTGATTCATTTCAACCGAATCTTGATTAAAGGAGAATTATTACCCGGTCTAAGTAAAAAAAATATAATTATATTATTTGTTAAAATATACTTATGTATCAGAATAAAAAAATCTACCTATAATCTATGTGATATGTGTAATTTACTTCCTCCACTTCCACTTCTTTCACTTCTTTACGGTTATTGTCTCTTCCGTAATTTAATCGTCGTCTTTAAATTGTGATTTATATTAATATGAATCAATAAGTAATTATTGATAATATTATAAATGACCTTCTAATAGAATATCTTAAAGAAAATTTAGGCATATTTAAAAGCACAAGTTGAGAGAAAAAAAATATCGAAAATTATTTTTGTTAGTTTTTTTCAGATTAGCTTTATTTGAAACGTCGTCAATTAAAACGCTAAGTAAAGCTACCAGATGATAATTTTGCTGACATACTTAGTTGTTGTTACTTATTAATGCTGGCCTAAATCCGTTGAAATCCAACCCATCTTGCATGAATCAAGAATATCGTTTCCTTTTTATTTTATTTTATTTTATTTATTTTTTTGAGTTGTATTTCACCAACCCAGCAGCACCGCATAAAAAAAATGAGAAATTCTGATAAAGAGGACGAAAAAGAATAAAAACCCCAAAATCAAAAAAATCAACATATATTTACAAAAAAAGTGAATATGAAAACTGTTAATTGTAAAAAACAATAGTGTAGGAATGAACAAATACACAATTATGAACAAGAACAACAAAGGAAATGGTAATTGTAGTGACATGAATGTCACAGGGCGTCTCACCCAATAATTTTTCCTATAAAGTTAATCATATGAAGATGTAATTATAAAGATAATGGTGACAGTAATTAAAGGTTCTATTATTATGTCTATTAAGTAAATTAAGTCTACCGGTGATATATTCTTTCACTATGTTAATATTATCCCAACTTAAATTTGAAATAGTTGACAAAGAAAAAGATCTAACCCACACTATCATTTCTTTGCCTATAGATTTATTATCATTTGTATTAAAACAACTAAAAAGACTATAAATCTTTTCACTCTGTTCCTTTCTTTTTCTAAGAGCAATATCTAAAGTGTCAATATTTAGCTGCCGCTTAAATTCCTGATTAACTTGCTGTTTTGAATTAGAAATATCATGTGATATATTATAAAAAGCTTCAAATGATTGTGCTATAGCCTCACCAAGAATATAATAACACTTAAGAACCTCATGAATTGATTTATTATTGTTTTCTTCAGCAATTAAAATTTCTTTATTAAGATCATTAAAATTTATAGCTAATATAGTGTTGGACTCATGATGCGATTGTGTCGTGTTTTGTGCAGTCAACTCTTGATGCGATTGTGTAGCAGTCACCTCATTCAATAGCTTATTAACAAGTTTTTTAATTTTTTGAGAATCTTTAAATTGCTTCGTGTTTTTCTTATGCTTAGGTGTTATTTCAATTTCCTCAAGATGTCCCTCACTTTGAACAGGACATTTAGGACAATTTAAGTCCGTACTATGCAAGCAGTTTAAATGAAATGCATGCCCACAAGAAAGTAGTATAATTGGGTGGAAGGAAAAAATTTCTCTGCTGCATCCTTGGCATGGATACTGTTCAATATTTATGCCGCAGATTTTAACATCTTTGGAATTTTTTAGTATATTCAATACAAAAGTTTTAAGTAAATTACTATGAAACCAGTTGGGATTTAGAGACAAATCAGACATTTTGATATCTTGTAATTAGTGTATTTTACGATAGCGATTTAGTGAAATAAATTCTGATTTTGCCTTTAATCATTTCTTAGCGTAATTTTTTTTGTTAATACAAAAGGAATGAAATCGTCAATTTGATCTTATGCTTTTTGTTGACACAATATAATATTTTAATTGATTTAAAATTAATTCTATTTTTACTCAAAAATATTTAATTTAATTCAGTAAAATTTTAATTAGCAATACAATACTTATTATTGATAACAATAATGAATAGCTTACAGGAAAATGCAACTTAAATCAAACAGTTACAAAGTTACTATTATAAAGCTATTATTGCAGGACTAAAATACGTTAAAGTTGATCTATGTGCTTCAGTCAATACTAGTGCTAAAACCATCAAGCTTTATCAAACATTAGCAATTGTCAAAATAATTGACTCGAAATTTATCTATTAATCTCCTTACACCCATATTTCATGAATAACTTAATTGACCCTGTATTCATCAATGAAAATTACGCACAGTTGGTTAGGTGCAAAATCATATGCTGTATAATTTTTCAATATTTAATTGTATTGTTTAGAACGAAATTTTAATTGATCTTATTTTATAAATAAATATCAATTTAAAATTAGTGTTATTAAATATTTTTCAATTTTAATCAAAATTAAAATTTTTCATATAATGCATTAGAATTAGTGGAATTAAAATTCTTGAAATTATTTTTAGCATTACTTTTTTCATTAATATAAAGCCCTGTGGTAAATTCAAGACGTTATCAAAGTGGCTCTACAAAATACAATATTATTTAATAAAATGAGGTCTTTTAAATTATTTATTTTTGTTCTTACCATTTTGATTCTAATTCCAAACATCACATTGTCCACAGTCCCACTTACATTTTATTGCACCTGTTATGTACCAAATACGGTTTCTTTCAACACATCAATTGCTAATGTTGCGTTAAAAGTTTCTGCACTACAAGGCCCATGTGTAGAAATTACCAGCTCTGGAGAATACTCGAATGGAAGCACCTTTGCTGTATCTAAAATTACTTCTGTGGAGCCACTGTGTTATAGTGATATAGCAGGTGTTCAAGATACAAGAGGTAGCTCTGTATGGTTCCTTTCCCCTCTAGGATGGGTTTGGTCTGGTTTGACGACAAATCCGAATTAGAATTTATCTTGTTAAATGTCATTTTGTAAACAATTCCTATAGTGATATCAGGCATTTTAACTAAGATTTATTTATAAGTTTTTTATTAAAAAACATTTTCTTTTTTTTATATTAATTTTACTTTATACACTTAATGCAATATGTCTCAATTTCTTCATGTTCATTTATACTCGCTTTCATGATACTTATGTAATATACTTTTCCAATCGATAATTGTAATTCAGGCCAAAATTTAATCTACACTTATTCCAACAGCCTCTGGATGCCGTCAGAAAATGAACTAAAAAGTGCTAAATTTTTATAAACAAATTAACAAACTTTTTTTTTGAATGCTCTTAGCAAAATTTTAAATGAGCCACTATTGTACCACTATCCAATATATATATATATATTCACTTAAATATGAGTGTTCAGCTTACTTAGCAATTTATCTTTTAGCTGCAATTTCAGTTTCTATAAAAGCTTTAATACTTTATAATTGAAAATATATTTTCATTAAAAACATCTATATTCCATAAAAGATTTGTAAAATAACATGATTATAACTTACAATTAAATTACAGAAGAGTCAAATTTAGGAGATTGATAATTTGCGTCATTATTATCTAAAAGACTTTTGAGAAAAAGGTCATAATTTTCAACAGTACTATGATAAGGCATTTGACATCGCACTCTCTAAGGACACCTGGTTTGCGAGGTTTATGAACTGGGAAGAAATGCAAGAATTAATGTTGACTGCTAAACATAAATTTGACCAGGATGTTGGCACATTGCAGAACAACAAGATCCTAGTCTACGTGCTGGCAAAGAAAGAAGAAGATGAGTATCCGATCTTCAGAAAATTGTTGGATCATTTCATCAAGAACAAGGAGTTACTATATCAGGGCCTCAAAAATGAGATTTCGAGAGTCATTTTCAATGAAAAATGGATTACTACCTAATTGACATCGAAGAAAGTTACACAAAAATGCTCACCAACATGATACGTAGATTCGTCGACCTAATATGCAACGAGATCAAGAGGCAATATAAAATGTGCGAATTCAAAATATGATTAATATTCAAGCCTACAGTTCGTCAAACTCATGATCAAGAAAAAATTCAATGATTGTGTTGTTAATTATTTCTCGGATTCCAATAGCTCGAGTTATAAATTAGAGATAGAAATTAAAATTAAAATGGATCTTCTAAAAAAAATTCTAGATATTTGATAAGCTTATATTTATTTATTCTTAATCTAATAAAGTCTACGTGTAAATAACTTAAAATTTAGCAATCAGAACTGTTTCGAGAATTCATTATTTGAGAGTGTTAATAGAAATCAAGCAAATTGTTTAAGTAAATTTTTTAAACTTTAAATTAAAATATCTCTTCAACTATTAAACCAAACTTGATAAAAAAAAATAGTTGCTACAATTACGTATAATGATTCCACAACCTAACCCGGAGTTGTAACTTAAATCATTATATTATCAAATTCAAATTTTATTTTTGAGCAAGAAAAATTTACAATTCAGAGTACAAAAATTTAAATTTTATTATATAAGTTATATTTTGATCTATTGATCTATCTATGATTGATATTAATGTTCAATTAATAAATCTAAACTGATTAAACTAAACTGAATAAATGTTCTTAGCAAAATCAACTAAGTTTAATATATTTTCACCTTTAGGATTAGTGAAGTCAGGGAATTCTTCATTTCTAATTAATTCCTTGATTAAGAAATTATATTCTTCATTAGTTGCAGTAAGAAAATATATTGCATTTAAATCAACATTTATGAGTTCCCTTGGCGTTATATTGGTCACCCAAAGGATATGATAGATTCTCCAACAAGCTGTCCATTTCATTAGAATACCATGTTTATTCTTATTCCCCAATTTCTCATACATTCGTGTTTTTATATTGTTCCCTTTCCAATGGTTCGTAGTTTTTTTGCTTGACTCTTCCTGTTGTTCTTGCGAACAAAGAGCAAGTAAAATGAAAAACAATTCGGATAAAGAATATATGAGTTCAATTCTTCTATATTGTTGATCATTAATCACTTTTTCACACTGATTAAAGTGTTGATCCCAAATATTAAGATAATTAAGACAACCATTAACATCCTTTATATTACTTAGTAATGGATTTAAAGATATTTTTGTTGGATTCTCTTTAAAGTATTTTTATCAATATTCTCATTATCTACTAGATATTTAAGAACATTCTTCGAAATATTATTTTGTATAAGAAAGAAATATTCAGATATCAAAACCAAAATTTAACAAGCAATAATTGAATTATAAATAAGAAAATTCTCACTTGATTTTTTATTTATCTGTGATGTTTTTGCAACATCAGATTCAGTTCTATTTGTATTTTCTTGAGACATCTGTTCATCGATTTCCTTTGTTTAAAAACAAAAAACAAAAATGTAAAGATAAATAAACATGCTTATTGATAAAATTTAATTATCTGTTATGATTTGCTTTAATTATGATTTGCCTCAGGTCTGGAATTTCCTAAGTTTTTATTTTGTGAGTATTAAAAAATATTTACTATTTATTAAGGTATATAGCACTTACCTCTTCATCAATTGTAATAGGCTAGATCACATCTGATAAATTGATGTCGAGTTTCTATATTAAAATTTTAATAATAGAGATATAAACTGATGCACCTTATTCTTCATATTCATGTACTAACAGCTAAGTAAATGGGATCTTATGAATGATAATGCAATAGTCTATTATTTAAATATGTTGATTATTATGCTAATGGATTTTTTTTTTTGAATTAATCTGTAATATAGATTCAGATTATTCTTCGAAAGTTCATTTTTATTATTTCCGAACATTTGTGGATGAAATAGTGAAAAACCCTTTGTCTCCTAAAGCTTTAAAAATAAATGTTTGCCTTATTGAATATCATGGTTAAAAAAACATTTTTTTCATTTCGCATTAGTAGGTTCAAATGAAAAAGGTATAAGGCTTTTAATATCGACACTTAACTAACAAACCATATGACTTATTTCAGCATCCACTGATGCTGAAATATCATGACGTTATTTAATCTAGTAGCTTTATTCATTTAATTTAATCAGTTTGATGATTGCATCAGATCATTATTATTATTGCGTAACTATTCAGTAGTTAAAATAATAGGTATAGTCAATTAGATAACAATACTTTTCATTGCTTAATTTATATACTGTAAAAAATCGTAAATTTATAAATACAGTCAAAATGCGAAATGTTAATTTATTATTTTTTATTAATTTATTATTTCTTTTTGATGAACTTTTCATCGAGTGGTCAAACTTAATGAATTATTACAAACAAAATATATCATTATTTCAGTAACTGTCCAGAAAACGAATGCAGAACATGCCGTAAATAGCAAATAACGACAAATGAACATCAGAATAAATTATGTTAAAAATCAGTAGTCAATAAAATCATCCGAGTTAACTATATTAAAAATCAGTATGATGCAAATATATATAACCATTTCATCAGTTTTAGAAATAATTAAAGTCATTGAGATTGTTCCATGTAGGTATTGCAAAAATTTATTATGTCATTCTATTACGTTATATAATTATCAAAATCTTGATAAAAATTGCGTAATAAAAAATAAGGACATTTTAGTCATATTTTAGTCATATATATATTTCACCTTTGATATTACTTATTTCTTAGAAAATTTATCCATGATTGAAATAGTTGAAGACAAAGGAGAAATAATAAAAAATTCAATTAATTGTATCTGGAGGGCAACGAGTAAAAAAGCTGCGGCAATAATCTTTAATAATGATCCGTTACTTTCAGCTACCCTTATTTTCAATGACGGAATGTCAAATACAGTAAACTTAGATGCACCAAGTTGTGTAATCATTAATAGAGAAAATTTTCTAAAGATCGTAGACCTCACCGAAGTAAATGAAAAAGATCAAATGATAATTGATGAAAACCATGAAGTAAATAATAAATTAAATATTTACATATTTACATTAACCTTAGGATACTAATATGATAAAAATCTATAGGTTATTCAAGCCGAAAATATTAATCTTGATAGACAACCTAGTGATCTATCATTAGAAATAGAAATGGACATTCAAGAAAATACTGCACAAAATACGGAATCGAGTTTTGACTTAGAAGAAGATGGCACCT